ATAGCTAGTAACGAGGATAACAACCAGGGAGACTCTTTGACAGGTGGTATGGACAGGTACGATTCTAAAGTGGCACCAGTATCTAAGATAGGTAGAGTCCGGGGCAGAAATACACTTAGCCACGAGCGCCGAGCCAATTCAGACATAGGGTATATTAACATGCAGGGCGGTAGGAACAGGCTAAAGTGGGAAGAGATAGAAGAACAGCTAAGAGAAGAGAGGCCGATGGTATACGGTTTTGTAGAAACACATCTCAGGGACATGGAACAACCTCCGAACAATCCGGACTACGCGTGGGAATATTGTAATAGAACAGAAGGCAGCAGAAAGGGGGGGGGAGTATTGGGGTATTCATTCATAAAAGTACAGACTGGCAAAGGGTCAAGCAGGAGTGCAAGGAACATTTATGGCTAAAAGGGAAAGTGGCAGGTCAAATGACGCTCCTTGGTTTCGTGTACTTGTGGACGGGAGCGAAGGCCAGAGAGGAAAACCAGGCAATGGTAGAGTGTATATCAAAGGGCATTCAGGAGTTAGGAGGAGAGTGCAAGATAATTATACTAGGAGATATGAATGCACACATAGAAGATATAGATGGGTATACCGAGCCGACAGGCAAAATGATCATGGATATGTGTGAAAGGCTGGATTTGATCATTTGCAACAGTACCGAGAAGTGCGAAGGGCAAATAACATGGGAGGTGGGAAGGCTGCAGTCGACGATAGATTACGCACTGAAGTCACATAGGATGTATGATAAGTTCAGGGGAATGCACATAGATGAAGGTGGCTCCAGAAGTCTGGGTAGTGATGACAAACGTATCAAGCTAAGTTTTGGAAGAGCAGTGAAAGTGGGAAGGAGAGAAGATGAGTAAATACAGGAAAATTTTTATCCAGAAAGGCACATTGAAATAGCCACTAAACAAATTGAGAAAGTAATCACGGAGGATAATAAGACAGTGTGGATATACACGATTCTAATTAGACTCTTTGAGCTAGAGCTTGCTAAGACGCGTGACAAGTCACCCCGGAAAAGAAGACAAACCCAAAAGTTGGTGGGATGAGATACGAAGCTATTGAACTATATGAATACAATGTGACAGTAAAATTTTCAACAATAATTTACATAGACAAGGATGAATCAAGTGGTGCAATGGCTCATTTCACAACGAGAGTGGAAAAGTGCCTGAGAAAAGGGTTCCGATAGTACATCACAGCCCAGAGTGGCCATTCCAATTATTCTGATAAAGACATTATGGCGAAGTCTAAGCAGCTTGGAGAGAGGCAGTGAGCAAAATAATAATCGAGTGGTGAAGTTCCGGTGGATGGAAACTTAGCAGGATGAGCATGATCTATGAAGGAAAGGTGGGAACAAAGCTGACATAAACAACTACCGTCCTATAACCAGTGACATCAGTGGCTCACCGAGGCTTGGCGATGCAGATTATAAAGGAAAGACTTGCAGGCATGGATAGATGGATGAAGGGGGTGGCTGGGGGAATTGCAAGATGGGTTTTCGGGAACACAGGAGGTTGGTAGACAATCTGTTTCTCCTGACGCAGTGCATCGAAATAGCAGAAAAGGAACACAGGCCCCTGTGGCTAGCATTTTTGGATATCAAGGGAGCGTACGATAGCGTGGTTCAAGAGGAATTGTGGGGAATACTGGACACACTAGGCGTGGGACATGTATTTACTAATCTTTTAAAAGGTATCTCTAAAGGTAAGAAGGTAGTTATAAAGTGGAAAAAACGGGTATCCAAGCCTGCAGAGGCAAAACGAGGGCTTAGGCAGGGCTGTCCTCTGTCACCATTGTTATTCATGAAATACCTACAAGGATTAGAGGCCAAATTAGAGGGAAGTGGACTTGGTTTTAACCTCTCTTTCGTCAAACAAGGAAAACTCATTGAACAGGCACTACCAGCATTGATGTACGCAGATGATATAGTGCTAATTGCCGACCACAAGGAAGATTTGCAGAGATTGATGTGCATCTGGGGTAATGAGGGAGATAGGTTAGATTTCAGATTCAGTAAGCAAAAAATCAGCAGTCATGATTTTTCATGATAATGATGGTAGTGAGCTTAGGATACAAAAGGTCCCGCTAGACATAACAGAAAAAGTACAAATATCTGGGCTTATGGATAGGCAATGGAACCAAGTAGCTTAGGGAACACGAAATGTACGTGACGACTAAAGGTAACAGAAATGCAGTAGCGATGAAAAATAGGGCACTGTGGAATTACAATATGTATGATGTTGTGAGAGGAATATGGAAAGGGGTCATGGTTCCTGGTCTGACATTCTGCAATGCGGTCTTGTGCATGAGATCAGAAGTTCAAGCAAGATTAGAAATTAAGCAACGTGGAATAAGTAGGCTTGCCTTAGGAGCTCACAGGAATACACCAAATCAGGGAGTACAAGGTGATACGGGATGGACATCATTTAAGGGCAGGGAAGCTAGCAGCAAAATAAAATTTTAGAAGCAATAGAGAAATGGGGGAGGACGTTGGGCTAGGAAGGTTTTAGCCTCTTGTACATGAAGAATGTCGATACAAAATGGAGGGAGCGAACCAGAAAATTCACGGGTAAATACTTGGAAAACAGCAGGGGGCCAAAACCAAAAATAATTAACGGTTAAGAAGAAGGTGAAGGAAGCTGAGGCCGATATGTGGAGAATAGGCATGATTAAGAAGTCCGCACTAGAGATCTATCAAACTTTTAAGCAGGAAATTCTCAAGGAAAGGATCTATAATAATACTCGGGATAGTTCTCTACTGTTTGAGGCGAGAACGGGAGTATTGTGAACCAAGACATATTGGGCCAAATACGAAGGTGTAGACACGGTATGCAGTGCGTGTGGAGAGGAAGAGGGAAATGCCGAACACTTGATAATGTTCCGTAAAGGGCTTCACCCTATAGTTCAGGATGATGGCGCAGAGTTATTCAAAGCACTAGGGTTTAGGGACCGGGAGGGCAAAATAGACTTTAAGTGGGTAGACTTAACTAGAAGGAGGTTATCTGATTGGTGGCTAAAGTCAAGGCACGAGTGAAAATTAAACTCTTCACTGCAAAGTACGAATCCTCAAACTCACTTTTTAAGGAAAAAAAAACTAAATATAGTTTTTGGTTCATTAAGTATTACGGCTTGGTGGCGCTAGCCACCGCCCGATCTAAAGGGTACAGCCATATCCATCCATCCATCCATCCATCCATCCATCCATCCATCCAGCCATAATCATCAACACAAACAAGCGAGGCGTGTTTCGATCTCTGGGGCTTGCTGTTCTGTCGGGATGCCCAGTGGGGGACGACATGCCGCGGCGAGTGCGCAACGAAAATTGGAAAAACTACTTATTAACCGATACATACGCGATAAGCTGGTACGGCTTATGCGGATACAAAATGCATTATGTTCAATGGCAGCCGAGTCGGGGATTTGACTTCACTACTTTTAAAACAAAACTACTGTTTACGCGGGTACGGTTTAACGAGGTTTCACTGTACCCTGAATGACTGAAAGAGGCCATAAATGAAGTTTGTTTTGCAGGGACTGCACATTGTGTTAGCTTCTTACCCTACATCTCTCGGCTGCTAACTTGAAGGTCGCGAGTTTGATCCCAGCAACGGCAATCACATTTCAGTGGTGGTGAAATGCTGTAGGGCCATGCACTCTATGATGTACACTCAAACCTCAATATAATAAACCCAGATATAATGAAAGATTGGTTATAATGAAGTAAATGAAAGATAGTAATGCAATAGATATAGGGTTAGGAATACTATACCTTAATAGTGAATTTTGGGATATATAACGAACTTATTTTCAATTTTTATGCAACTTTGTTATAATGAGGTTTGAGTGTATGTCCATTGATGTTATATCCTAGGCTTCAATTTGTAAGTCTTCATCTCACTTACAATACGCTTGAAGTGTTCTGAGATAGCAGTGGCATAGAAAGCAACCAGTGCTAAAGACACTGCATGGAAATCCTAGTTGATAGTATTCTGTCGGAGAGCCATTGGGGGGGGTATTGCATTGATTATAAGATCATAATAGCAGAAAATTTGGTGCAATTGGTAGTTGGAACTATGTGAAGAATAGCATCCCATCGCGAAACGGAACAGAATTGAGCCAAATGAATAGAAACTTTATCATGTAGCGGTTAGTGATACATCGGCCATGCTGCGCGATTGTTCACTGGTTTGTGCATGCTCTAAATATGGACTTACTTTAGGGTTCTGAAGTAAAGGAGTCACCCAACAATTTGTGGTCTTCAGCGAAAATTAGAAGGGTCTAGGATGCCAATCCAGACATCAAATGTGTCCCCTGCAAGAATATTTCAGAGCGAATCATGCTCCAGAAGGCGCCTACTGTAAGCCCCGCCCACCACTGGTGACCGCCACTTCTGCAAGGTGCCTGTGACGTCACGTGCAGCAAGGAGCAGTGACATCGTCTCCTACCGCAGTTTCAGGCGTTGCAAGTTGTTTGATTACTGTGCCAACTAGAAAAAAAAGCTCAAATATCTCGATTTTACGTACAGCTGACGATGAAACAGCATCATTTGCCGTAATGTAGGCGCCCTTACACCCTGCTTGTTACATCACGGCTGGCAAGTGAACCAGTGTTGCCCATCTCTCAGGCAGCTCGACTGTTTGCAAAAATATTCAATAATAAATTTAGTGCTTGACCAAATGCACTAAAATTTTGCCGTATCATTTGTGAATGCTCAAGAATTAACAACCTGCATAACAGTGATTATGATGCGAAACTGCTTGTCATGGCCCTTTTAAGTAGTTTTCATTAGTAACACATTGTCTGTAGTAATCAAGTCTTTTGTCTGCAATGTTAATAATGTGGCAAATATGCGAAAATCAACCAAATCATTTTAAAGTTTCTCTTGTAACCAATTGTCTTTTATAACAGTATCTCTTCTAACAGATTTTACTGCTCGAGCGAAGTGGCTTCCTGCAGGCATTTCATGCTTTAAATGCAATGCGCAGTTGTGACCTGGTGGCCCTGGGCAACGGCACGGCCTGCCGTGAGACTGAAGCTTTCCTCTCTGAGCTCATCTCCAAAGGCTGCTTTGAGCCAATCAAACTTAAATACTGGTGAGCACGAAAAGTGTCTTGCTTGCCGCATTAAGTCATTGTTTTCTTTATTGAAAGAAGTGCAATGAGTATGACATCACAACCGGTAGAAAATTATCTCGAATTCAGTCAGAGTATTGAAAAAAATTAAAGATGATAAGAAAACTAAATTGCAGTAAACTTTCTTGCATGAACTCTGCTGTCTGCAAGGAATAGGCTGCCGATGCTTGCCAACAATATCATTTTCAGTAGAGGTGAAAGCATTGGAGGCCTATGTACTTATATTATTTCACGTCAAAGAACCATAGACTGTCGAAATTTCCGCATCCCTCCAACACACGGTGCCTCATTGTTTTATGACTGTTTTGGCACGTGAAACGTCGGGAAATCGCTGTCAGTGGTGGCCAACATGAAGCTATTTATTTGTAACCATAATCAGTAGTTGGCAAAGTTTAGCTATAGCAGGCGTTATGCATCAACAGGCTTCTCGCTGCTCATTGTTTGTTATGAAACTAGTTCATAGTGATACCCAAACGTCTATAGAACGAACCCACATACACCGAAATATCGGTTATGACGAAGTAAATGAATAGTAGTCTTGCAATAGATGTGGGGCTAGGAAATCACTTTATAACAAATCTTTAGATATAACAAACTTATTTTCATGTAAGATGCAATTTTGTTGTTATTAGGTTTAACTGTAGTTTTCATGTGTTTTAGTAAATTACTTTGCTTGACTTCCTTCTTCCAATCCTAGCCTTGACAATGAAGTAATTTTAAGCGAACCGTTGAACTGCTACTAAAAACTCAGTTTACACAAGCAGGTTAGCACATATGGGATATAAAGATTTGCATAGAGATGAGTAGATTATATGTTAGAAAAACAGGACCAGAAGCAAATATTAAAACAGACATTAATGCAGCACAGTGGAAGAGAGCGGCGTCTCCATCTACTCAGTCACCAAGGATGCCGAAGCCGAGCTCCCTGGCCTTGACCCGAACATCCGCAGTGCAGGTGAGCTTTTTTGTTTCTCAGATTTTTGTTGCGTTGCTATGGCGAAGGTTGAAAAAGATGTCTGAGAAAAGTAAGTGATAGAGTAGTTGTAACTTACTCATCTGGTAAAGGAATTTGTTGAAGCACAGCCCGATACAGAGAATGCTTTTTGCAATTAGCGTTGTACACTGACACTTCAGTGAGGTGGTGTGGGTTCGTAGCTAAAAAAACACAAGGACAGGCGTCGATGCCCATCCTTATGTTTTTGCATTTTTGTGTCTTGTGTTTTTGGCCGTTCTCAACCATAAAGGCATGGTACTAACTGAGCTGTATAGAAAGATGTGCTAAATAAGCTTATTTAGGCTAGCAACACAGGACCACATCACATGCACTCACCAGAAAAAAAATCCAATTAAATGGGCATGTCACATCTCTACTTTGAAGTACACTCAAACCTCGATATAACAAAGTCAAAGGAAAGCCACAATTATTTCGTTATATCTATTATTTCGTTATATCGATTATAACAGGTTGTGGCAATTTATGGTCAGGTGGGCGCACACCTATAAGCATACAAAGAAGGAAACCGCCTCTCGGCCCGATGTACCGCTACGCGACCACGCGTGCGACGAAAAATAAACACAGTCGAACCTCATTAATTTGAACGCACTTAATTCGAACTTCCGGTTAATTCGAACTCACGCTGAGGTCCCGTTAAACCTATGTCTAATCCAATGGGTGAAAACGCTCTGTAATCATAACACGCTAGCACTTGCAACGGTCAATTCAAACATACCGCGCTCCGAAAATGCTCTCAGCACCTGTCAACGGCGGCACCTGTCAACGCTGCACGCAAAGAAGGAAAACAAGAAAAGGAAATAAAAGACTGTAACGGATTGTTTGCTCTCTCTGAAATGTCGATCTGCGACACGCCTGTGCTACGCTTCTCCCTTTTCCATAGAGACCCTTCTCCTGTCAAGGCCGTGCGTGGAGAGAGAGGGAATAAAAAAAAAAGCTGTCTTGTAGACTCCTCCTTTCTCAGTGCAGAGGTTAGCAGTGGAGACGCAGTGGTTGCCGTCGTCTTTAAGGCGCGGAGAGGGAAATCGCTTTGGACCTCGGTGCCGCTTCTGGGTCATGTGACCCGCTGAGGGCTGCTGGTGGAGTTCTTGCCAGCAACTACTACTTTGAGAACCAAGTTAAAAGTTTTAAATAATTTTTTTCAGCTAGAACTCATCGAGAGTTTCATTATACTGGCCATTATTAAATTCGTAATTATACTAGAATCATGACGGGCTGACGCAGCGAGAAGGAGGTGACATGCTGCTCGCATGTCACTACTGTATTGCAGTGAAGGAATTTTGTTTTTTGCAAGCACACATCTTGGTTAATCACGACAGTGTTTTTTTTTTCTTTGTCACTGTTTCTCTGTGCTTGCGGCAATATTAAGACCAGGTATTGCTGGAAAAAATAACCTTTGGAGCCGCAAGCTACCTGGCACACCAAATGACAAGCACTGATTACTTGGAACAGTGTCTGTATGTTTTGTTGATTCAAAAACCCGCTTAATTCGAAGATTTTTTGTGCCCCGAGTGACTTCAAATTAATGAGGTTGTACTGTATTTCATTTTTTCACCATAACCTTGTGCATAATACCTGGGATTTCAGTGGACCATTGTATTCAATAATGTCACTTAAATGTGTGATTGCCTTGGGCCGCACTTTCCACAACAACATTTTGCAGTTGGCATAGCGCGGAGATTGCAAGACCCCTTGCTGGAGTACGTGAAGGTGGAGCCCAAGCACCTCGGAGTTGGCATGTACCAAGTAAGCGTGAGGTTTTCAAACTCGGCCATTAAACTGTTACTGCCTCGGCATTCATGTAAACTGTGCTGTTCTTAGCAAAGAGTCCTCATACTGAAACAGTCAATGACCAAAAGTTTGGGACACGTGCATGTAGCACCATCTGGGGTAAATAGGCAAAAAAAGTCGTATCTGTCGATTAAACTTAGTTACCAAAAGGGACTCCCGGTAACATATAGCAGACACTTATTGGAACATTCCGGTAACATTACAGTGTTGCACTGCAAAGTGTGTGGCTTCCCAGAGTGTACAATATTTTACAACGGGGCTCCAGGTGTTTCTCATGGGCGGTGTTCAACTGTCCTGGGAAGCCTCACATTGTTTAGTGTGTTACTGCAATTTTATCAAATTGTTTTAGTAGGTCTCTGTTGCACATAACTGGGAGTTATTTTTTTTGTAACTAGCTCTTTTCAAGAAATATGACATTTGGGGGGGGGGGGGGGGGTATTTCCCATTCATTTATGGCAGGACGCCCTTGCTGCCGACGAGAGATGGCGCCACGTAGAGATGTCCTTAACCCTTGGGAATGATTTAAAAAGTACTGCCACTTTCCTCTTATCAATGTAAATTTACGTTACTTTGTATGGACTTTCAGTAATCGCACAATGTAATAGGCATCAGATGCAAGCAGCAGTTCCAGCAAGGCACTGTTTATATTCAAGAACAGTTAGAGTCAGCCTTCCTGCCATTCCTTACCTTGCGGGAGAGTTACAGCTAAGTCTGTGCAAATATTCCAATGCTTCGAATATTTGAACGAATAGTAAAGTATTCGAATTCACTTCGGTTTGACTTTAAATTATTGAAAATTTTGAAGTAATTGCAAAGAACGAATAAATGTTTATTAATCTGCATGTAACCCCCTGTAAAGGTAATTTCACTGCGGTGTAAAGGTGCTCAGCCTTGAAAGCATCTGTTCAAGGGAAATCCGCTCTGCCATGAAGCCTTACTTCAAATTTAAAGGGGCCGAGCAACAGTTATTGAGCATGGTCAGAAAACGCTGCTGATCGCTAGCCAATGCTACCGAGAACACGCGAGCCTATTGGCGCGGTGCATGGCATGAAATTCACAAGTTTTCAAAGGCAGTTAAAAATTGCTCTTTTCACTTTGCAAATGACTCCACAAGCTCAAAAATCACTTGTCACAGCCATTCTATCTGCCATTGGCTGATTTGAGCGTGGCGCCTTCGGTCATTATAGGGGCCGCCGCGGGAAGCTGCGAAAGCCACGTATTTGAAGAAAAAAAAGAGAGAGAGAAAGGGGTCAAGGTCACGAGGCGTGCATGACGTATTTTCTTTCCCTGTGCCATCCTTCCCTGCTTAGTTTTCAGCACTTTCGTCAGGACTAGAAGAGAGATTAGAATTGCGACGTGCGACAAAACTTTGTAACTGATGCACGAATAGGGCAGATACGAATATGGGGCAGATACAAGGATACAAGATAGCTTACAGCAGCTTGAGCATTGTCTTGTTACATGTCTATTGTTGACAATTGTACTTTCTCGCAGTTTTCTGAAAATTGAGAATAAAGGCAGTGACATTCAAATCTTATTTTTTTAAGGTGATAGATATTTTCTTCTAATTTGCCATTGGCCAGATCTTTGCGATTTGGTTTGCAAGAGCTGTTTTTCTGTCTGAGTGCGTTCAAATTTGCATAGACGTGTTGTCCAGTTACAGTACAGTTAGCCCCGCCGCGGTGGTCTAGTGGCCAAGGTACTTGGCTGCTGACCCGTAGGTCGCGGGTTGATTGATTGATTGATATGTGGGGTTTAACGTCCCAAAACCACGATATGATTATGAGAGACGCCGTAGTGGAGGGCTCTGGAAATTTCGACCACCTGGGGTTCTTTAACGTGTACCGAAATCTGAGCACACCGGCCTACAACAATTACGCTTCCATCGGAAATGCAGCCGCCGCAGCCGGGATTTGAACCCGCGACCTACGAGGTTCGAATCCCGGCTGCGGCGGCTGCATTTCCGATGGAGGCAGAAATGTTGTAGGCCCGTGTGCTCAGATTTGGGTGCACGTTAAAGAACCCCACGTGGTCGAAATTTCCAGAGCCCTCCACTACGGCGTCTCTCATAATCATATCGTGGTTTTGGGACGTTAAACCCCACATATCAATAAATCAATCATCATTCAGTTACAATACAGTTTTTGAATTGTCGAGATTCTGCTCTTTCTTTTTCTGCCTGCAGCATGATGTGACTGAGTCACTGTTGAAGAGCGCCCTGGAGGGAGTCGTCGTGGAATGCGTCAGCTTTGTCGGAGTCGACATTAACGTCTGCCCCGAGTTGACGCTCAGGTGGGTGTACAGAAGCGGCATTGCTGTATCTTGCAGACTTTGTTGGATCTAGAGAAAAACGTTCGATTTACAATTAATTAGAAAACATAGCAGTTTCCAGGAACCGGCGAATCGGCTATTGCTGCAGTGCATGCTTAGCAGCGCGTATTCAACGACTTAGTTATATTTGCATCGGACGCATTATTCGAAGGTCACAGGTTCACTCCCTGCTGGCGGTGTTATCCTTTTGTCCACTTTCTCTTCCTTCACATTAACATTACATTTACTGCTAACACCACTAGGCTTATATGCGAATAGTGAATTATAGGTTCCAAGTGAATTTGCAGTAAATAGTAATTTTGTTCAAATAATTTGGAATCTGATTCGACTGTTATATCTCACATATTATAAAAAAAAATGGGCATATCTGTCATGACCTAGCTAACTTGTACATGATTTTTTGAAAGTTATAACAAGACCTGTGCAAATGCCGCTTTTTTGTTGTTCAAAGGAAGTGGAAGCAAGTTTGTATAGTAGCAGAATTTGTTCTTCGGTAGAATGCTAGTGATAACCTGTAAAATATGTCAAGTTTTAACATTTACGATACTTGGAGCATTTAGGTCGGTATTACAAGTTTTGAAACTTAAAAAGTAACGAATCGATGAGAGGATAATGTGTTCATTAGCACTTGAAGTGGGGATTTGTGGAAGTGCTCATTTCTTCTGAACTGGTGTTTTCACGGTTTAGCAACTCTTCACTACAGTCAAACACCATTTCAGTGGTTTACATGTGGGCTAATATGCACCTGGATTAAGGCTTTCAAGGCTTAGCACACTTCCACTATAGTGAAACCAACTTTACAGGGAGTTGTATGCGGAATAAAATGCATCTATTAATTCATTTGGAATACTTTAAAATTTCAAAAACTTAAATTTCAGATTGAAAGGAATTCGAATACTGTTATGTTCATTCAATTACAAATATTTGCACTAGCCTCAACATTCCCAATACTTTTCTTGGCATCATTGTCTGTTAGTTCTCATTACATTGTGTCTAACAAAGAAAACTTTCCTTCTTTGTACACATGCTACTACACTGTAGTTGTTATGACTCATGTCAGTCAATCAGCAACAAAAACTAGATTGAGTGGTTCTGAGTATGAAAAATAATAGTGCCTATACCGATTGTAAACTGCTGATTCTTCCACAAAGCTCCCATTAAACTGCTATCAATGAGCTGCGCTCGTCCTCACACTTTCGGTGAATTCAGCCAGGGATGATGAGTCAGCATGTTGATGGTACTGTACTGTACTTTATCTAGCATTGCTGTGGACAAGCCTACACTAGGTCAAGCTTACACTAAGTTAAAATGAAAATGCCCGATGAAGCGCCAATCATGCTGAGCACCTAGATTCGAGAGAGTGAGAGAACGCAACTTTATTGTTGTCAGAGTTATGGAAGTAGGCTATCCGCCAGGCTGAACCTGGAGGTCGCCTCCTCTGCACTTTGTATGACCTGGTGCTGAACGGCCAAGCTGGTGAAGGTCAGAACCGCCTCCCAACCTTCTGGCAAGCAAGATCAGAAGAGGGGGGATCTTCCCTGCAGGCCTAGAGAATGTGATTGAGTGTGGCTACCGACCCACAATGTAAGCAGTGCGGACCAATCGTGTTGGGGTATATACGTGCATAAATGTATAGGCACGAGAATGAATGTGTTTGAAATTGCTGCCAGCCAACTTCCTGGCACTTAGTTAGCTTAGGGTGTGGGAGTGGTTTTGACTGCCTCGAAAGACATGAACACTGCGTATTGTCATGGTAGGATGTCAAGCCTTTACCAGGAAACTCTAGGCATTTCAAAGCCAAAATACGTAACCCAGCGTATGATACATTACCCATTGTCTCTGCAGGAAGGTGTCTGGGCTGAACGCAGGCACGGCCCGCAACATTGTGGAGTGGCGGACGACCAACGGTCCCTTCCGCAACCGCCAGCAGCTGCTCAACGTCAAACGCCTGGGCAGCAAGGCCTTTGAGCAATGCGCGGGATTCGTTAAGGTCTTTCCCCAAACTGCGTCGGGGGCAAAGCCCGCTGGCGAAAGCACTGGGTGAGCTCTCAAGCGTTTTCATGTCTATCGACTCCTGACCTTTAGAATATCTCGTTATTGTGATACTAGAAACCATATAGACACTATGAGTGCATTTTTGCTGTCAGGGCCATCGTGAAGCTCTGTATAAAGTATAATGCAGAAGATTTGATAGACAGCCTAGTTGATATAGGTCTATTATGACAACTTTGCAGCACAAGCAAATGCAACAAAGCAAGAAGGCACGCAAACAAGCACAGGCTGAAACTTTGGTTTAATCATAGCAATAAAAATGTGCACTCAGACCTCAATATAACGTACCCAGATATAATGAAATATTGGTTATAATGGTTCAAATGAAGACTATACTACAATATGAATACTGTTAGGAATATATTCTTTATAAGGAATTTTTGCATATAACGAACGTATATTTATGTAAAATGCAACATTGGTATGATGAGGCTAGAGTGTACAAGAAAAGGCGAGGGGAAAGAGGGTTACAAGCAAAAGGGTGAACCGACATCTGGTGTAGTAAAAAACACAGTTTAAAAGTGATATGGAAAGTGAACTGACACACCAGCAGTGTTCTTTATGAAAACCACCATCCCGCTTGTTTGCGCTACCAACATGTCCCAATAAATACAAAGGCCTTGGACACTGCATCTTCTACCTGAGTATGAGATGGTGCAAGGTTACTCGATGGTCATCACTTGGGTAAAGACGAAACGTTCTCTGCCACACAAAAGGCCGATGCGGGGCCTCACAAGGGGCTGCCCAACTCTGCAGGCACTGCATACTTGATCAACTGGGTGTGGTCATGCGGCCTGTCTCAACAGACATGAGCAGACGGTTCGTACCTTTTCTGTTTGCAGCCCATGTTTATGTTAGACGTGGGAATGCAGCTTGTAATTTGCTGTGTCTACTTTTCCTGACACGTTGCCCCAAGTCCCATTTCTGCTTGGATCTGACACTTCTGATTATTCGAACAATAATCGGGTATCCCTACCAGTTTGTACTATACAAAACATACCGTAGTACTTGTGAATCACTTAAGGAATAACAGTTTTGCTTCCAGTGCCTCATTGGTGTAAGACAACTTGAGTTCTTAATTAAGTTTACAGTCCACCTCACATGAACTCGCTAACCAGCAAGAATTATTTTGATATATATGGTATAATTTAGTGTAGCGCTTCTGAATTATTTGCCTATCTTTAATGCAAATTTTAGTGCGAAAATTGGCTTTTTGGAGCTGCTTCACCAAATTCAAAGAAGGCGCTGTACATCAACACGCATGAATTTTTTTCTTTGATTCACGCTTTTCTGTGTTGGGGAAAGGGGGTTACCGTATTTAAGTGATAATAGGCTGATTCATTTTATCTAATTTTGACATCTGAAGTTGGGGGAGGGGGTCCTCATACAATTAAAATTGAAGCTCTTACGGTTGTAAGGTCAACTTACAAACGAAGCAAACAAGAAATCAGTCGTACTGATTTCTCGTTGAGCTGAGCGAGGAGTGTACTGAGCTGAGCGAGGAGCTGAGCGAGAAGTGTACGCGTACACGCGACAACTGCGAGTCTGGTTCTTTCACCGCAGTGCCAAGAAACAAGGGGCAGTTTCGTAGTTGTGGGTGGGAACGGGAACTGACATTGACTTCACTACTGTTTTTTCACACCTGATTTATACCAATTGGCGTGCTGCGTCACGTCGCCGATCGCCGAGTTGACGTCACTGCGCGCGCAAGGGGGTCGATCAGGCGTACGAAACATGCGCGGGAATCGTTTTTCGAAATAGAGGCTCTGCGCGGCACGCAGCGCTGTAATATTCAGGAAACGTGATCGCTGCGGTCTGATCTACGAATTACCGAGCTTGTATGGGGGGGTGTAAAAGAAAAGTCGGAGTTTGTTTACTGGCCCTTTAAGGAAATTTAATGTCTTAAAGCTGCCTCGACCCCATCTTTGCGAATCTCCTGTGCCAGAACGACTGGACACAGCACTTCTAGAACCGCTGATATATATTTTGAGAGTTTAATGCCGTTTCGTAATCTGTCATACCGAGGGTTCTTTTTTTATTTGGCTGTTTTATCAATTCTTCGATTACTCGCATAACGATGATCTACAATAAAACACTATGAACAATTCAGATGATCTTTCTGATTATTTCGTACAACAGGCTGAAAGGAAGTCGATCGGTCTGTATAGTTTGAGGATGAATGGTGAAACAGCGCAAGTCTTGTGTTGATGAAGTCAATTCGTATATGCACATGATTGGAAGCTATCAGGAGAAGAGGAAGTGTGTGAGGACAGTTGTTACGTCACTCGCATGACAATAAAAGGGATGATCCTTAGCGAACTATACTTCATAAGAAACCATTCAAAAGCACGAAAACAGCGAAGGAACCAGAGAGGACAAGTGCGGGATTAACAACTAAATATTTAATAAATTAAGCCCCCACACGCATGAACCATCAGCGCCTGTGTAAATGGGCTATCAGAGCCTAGTATGTTGCAGATTTGACAATACAAAGCCAAGAATTAAGCATGTCAAGGTGTCGCAAACAGCGCATTTCCACAAAGCCAAAATATCAACGCCACGGGTGCCCGTTGACTAAAAACTGAGGGTTCGCGTCGCATATGTCACATTGCCTTTTTTATTATATTAATAGGCTTTGCAACTTTCATGTCAAATGTTATTTCTCAATTCCTTCTTTATGGCACCCTGATTTGAAATCAGGGGTGCGCAGCTACAGCCTTTGCAGCGCAGTCGTACATGAATTTCGGAATTTCCTTGTCATGTGGTCGTGTCTACAAAGGTCAGAAGAACCGATCAGCTTCAATGACAGACTGCGTGAACACCGCATTCTACTCCCTACAGGTACTGGTGGAAACTCACCGCTGCACTGAAATGGCTCTATGTCCCTAATTTCAAATCAATAAGTGTCATTGGCAAAGGAATTAAAAATAAGCTTGAACGTAAAGTATTTAAACCCTTCAAAATAAAACAAAACATGGCAAAGTGTTATGTGTAAATCATCCATGAGTTTTCCTTACAAATACAGAATTCGCATTATTAGGTAGATAGTGATTGCACGGTATCGTCGACTCAATAGTGTTTCATGAAAATGTGCTGTTTGTAACACCTTAACACCTGTGCACTGTCAGGTGTGCAATTGTTAGGTGTGCAAATGACTCAAATAGCATAATTTATGCACGCGTTGCTGGGTTGTGTGTGCATGGGCTTTCTGCAATAAACATCGTGTTTGAAGTCCAATGCTTGCTCTCTGCGGTTGTTCTCCTTTGTTGTCTTCGTGTCTATTGTTGGATTCGTCTTCCGAATATTATGAATCAACTCGCACAGCAAGCTGCGTTAGTGATGTACTGTTTCAAACACCGTTGAGAAAAATTGGAATCTAGATTTAGTTAGTCAAATTTAGTCGAAGGTAGAACACGGGTGAAGTTAGGCGCAGATTACTCGATTTGATTGTCGACGAGTGCATGACAAAGCGGAGGAAACACAGGACATTACGTACTTAGTGTTTTATCCGCATTAATGACATTGTGGGGCTCGTTCGCTGGGTGCCTGCCCAGTATTCTACCACTGAGCCACACCAGTGCTTGGGACTTGTAGGCAAGCTTGCCTTAGGCAAGGTTGATGTCGGGAAAGCAATCGCGTTAATACGACTTAAAAAGCATTTTAAAACAGCGAAATTTCGAACAATTAACCAGTCATCGCACAATGTGGATAGCGTAGCGTGTGGGTCGTCCAATGCTCCAACCCATAACAAAAGATATTGTTCTTGTTCAGCCAATAACTGTGGCGCATACTCACTTCAGGCACAATTCCTCATCGTCTTCAGTCACTGCATGAACAATTGGCACAAAATCCTTTGCAAGTGTTTAGCGCATACCACGCTTCTAAAAAAATGACGAAAAATTGCAGAGCGAATACCAGCCTACTACCCTAAAATTTTTATTATTAATGCCGTAGTGGGTTTCAAGCAAGTGTGCTTGCAACAGTTACGCAATGAGTGTTTAGAAAAGGCTCTGAAAGGCCGCTCTTCTAGCTTTCACTGCGACTGTGGTGGGCCTTCCGCGCAGGCCCGGCGTCTTTTCTGATCCAGTTATTTAACTGTAACCGGCAGGCAAATTGATTGCGATGCGTTTATGTTATGTCGGGGGTTGTCGTCGGCCCATAGACGTACGCGTTGGTCGCGGTAGTCCAAAAAGCTCAGACAGCCTCGAACGGTTAAAAACAAGTTTATTCCTATTCGAATGGAGGTGGCGGCCGAACTGCCGGGGGAAACGACGGTGGCTCGTTTGCGCCGAGCGGGGGAAGGGGAGGAGTCAACATCTGGAAGCAGTTTCAGCAACCGGTCCTTCGCGGGTTCGGACGCTCGCTCGTGACACAGGGGTGCTTGGAACACAACAGTTTACTAGAGGGAAGAATTAAAAAAGGACCGGTAATTTACTGGTGACAGAATAAACTGCCAAGGAAAGCCAGCTTTACTAAAAGAAAGTTTCATCGGCAGGCCCCAAAAAACATCGGCGGAGGCGGCGCGCCGACGTTTCTGCGCACACCTCTACTTCTGGCTCTGGGAGCGGAGTCAGTGAGTCAATTGTGCATTAAGCCTATTTGTGCGGCTAAGTGCGGTGGATCACGGTGTTATTTCAGCCCCATGGAAAGGAAGCAGCCGCACCATGCATTCTCACTTGAAAAAAAAAACTTCAAATTCTTCAGGAGCTCAATCGCAGCGGCCTGCCTAGGACGAAGGTGGCAAAAAAATTCACGAAATTGACAACGCTGTCGTGGATCTACGAAGAACGGGACCTTTACATCTAAACGGATGTGGATGTGGAAGACGCCTTATGAACAACTAGAAAAAGTTCTTTTTCTGTGGTTCAAGCTTGCACGTAGTTCCAATTTGCCCACTAGCGGACCAATTCTCGAGCAGAAAGCCCGAGAGATCGCCATGCAAATGGTGTAAAGAACTTTGGCCTAAGCGACGGAAGGCTCAGCCGCTTCAAAACATGCTATGGCCTAGTCTTCAAATTAATCTCAGGTGAGAGTGGTGCAGTCAACAGGGACATTTGCACTGAATGGCAACAGGGGCGGCTTAAGGAAATTTGGTGAGCTTTGAGTCGCGAGACGTCTTCACCGTAGACGAAATAGGTCTTTTTTATAAGGCACTTCCATCAAAGACTCTCACATTCAAAGGCGAAGCCTGTAGTGGTGGAAAATGCAGTAAAGATCGCATCACTGTGCTGGTGGGTGCAAACATGGCAGGAGATGAGAAATTGAAGCTGTTGGTGATAGGAAAATCAAGGCACCCATGTTGTTTCAAAGGCGTTCGACACCTTCCCGTTGCGTACTATGCAAACGGAAGAGGGTGGATGACCATGACCCATTTTCGAAAACTGGCTACGGGAGGAAGACGCAAGATTTACGAGGCAAGGCAGGAAGGTTGTCTTCATCGTAAATGATTGCCCAGCCCGCGGTCAGGTTCAAGGACTCCAAGCTATCACTCTGGAGTTCTTGCCAGCCGATGCGGTACTAGAAACGCCAGAGGAGAGCTACTAGTAGAATTCACAGACCGCAATAATTTATGGATTTTCAATGCCTTCTACCAAAAACAAGGAAAGCTCAAGTCGACATGGAGGAGCCCTAATGGCGAAAATAAGAACGAAATAGGCTTTATAATGAGTGCACACCCAGGCATCGTGCAGGATGTGGAAGTGGTTGGCAAGGTACGATGCAGTGACCATAGAATGGTACGGTCTCGAATTCGCCTAGACTTGAAGAAGGAATGACAGAAACTGATACTCAAGAAGCCAATCAATGAGCTAGCACTGAGAGGGAAAGTACAGGAATTCAGAGTCTCGCTTCAGAACAGGTGCTCGGCTCTTAGTGAGGAAACCAACCTTAGCATAGATACAATGAATGATAATCTGACGAGTATCATTACGGAGTGTGCAGTGGAAGTTGGAGGCAGGGTAGTTAGACAGGACACTGGCAAGCTTTCCTAGGAAATGAAGAATCTCATTAAGAAGCATCAAATCATGAAAGTTTCAAGTACAACAGACAAAATACAACTGGCAGAGCTTTCGAAGTTGATTAATAGGCATAAGGTATGCGGTGTAAGAAGGTATAACATGGAGAGAATTGAACACGCTCTGAAAAACGGAGGAAGCGTCAAAGCAGTGAAGAGGAAACTTGGGATAGGCAAAAATCGGATGTATGCACTAAGGGACAACGAAGGTAAAATAACTACCAATATGGATAGGATAGTTAAAACAGAGGAGGAGTTTTACAGAGATCTGTATAGTAGCCGGGACAACCATAACCTTAATACTATAAGAACTAGCAGTAACCCAGATGACACCCCACCAGCAATGATAGAAGAAGTCAGCAAAGCTTTGGAGAGCATGCAAAGAGGCAAAGCTGCAGGTGAGGATCAGGTAACATCAGATCTGCTGAAAGATGGAGGACAGATTGTGTTAGAAAAACTAGCCACCCTGTTTATGAGGTGTCTCCTGATGGGAAAAGTACCAAGAGTCTTGGAAAAGTGGTAACATCATCCTAATACATAAGAAAGGAGATGACGAGGACTTGAAGAATTACAGGCCGATCAGCTTCCTTTCTGTAGTATACAAGCTATTTACAAAGGTTATTGCTAACAGAGTGAAGAAAACATTAGAATTCAATCAACCAAAGGAACAAGCAGGATTTCAAACAGGCTACTTAAGAATCGACCACATTCATGCTATCAATCAGGTAATAGAGAAATGCTCAGAATATAACCAACCACTATACATAGCCTTCATAGATTTCGAGAAGGTGTTTGATTCAGTAGAAATATCAGCTGTCATGCAGACACTGCGGAATCAGGGCGTCGATGAAGTATATATAAACATCCTCGAAGAAATATACAAGGGATCAACTGCTACCATAGTGCTTCATAAAGAAAGCAACAGAATACCAATCAAGAAGGGTGTAAGGCAGAGGGACACAATCTCCCAATTTCTATTTACCGCGTGCTTACAGTACGTTTTCAGAAGCCTAAAATGGGAACAGTGAGGGACAAGAGTTAATGGAGAGTATCTTAGTAACCTGCGCTTCCCCGATGATATTGCATTGCTGAGTAACTCAGGGGACGAATCGCAACTCATGATTACGGAGTTAGACAAGGAAAGCAGAAAGGTGGGTCTTAAAATTGATCTGCAGAAAACAAAAGTAATGTACAACAACCTCGGAAAAGAGCAGTGCTTCGAGATAGGCAATAGTGCACTCCAATTTGTAAAAGACTATGTCTACTTAGGGCAGGTAATAACCGCGGAGCTGAACCACAAGATCGAAGTAACTAGAAGAATAAGAATGGGGTGGAGCACATCTGGCAAGCACTCTCAAATTATGACAGGTAGATTACCACTATCCCTCAGGAGAAATGTATATAACAGCTGCATCTTGCTGGTACTTTGCTATGGAGCAGAAACCTGGAGACTTACAAGGAGGGTTCAGCTTAAAATGAGGACGACGCAGCAAGCAATGGAAAGAAAAATGGTAGGTGTAATCTTAAAAGACAAGAAGAGAGCAGAGTGAATTAGGGAACAAACGGGGGTTAAGGATATCATAGTTGAAATCAAGAAGAGAAAATGGACATGGGCTGGGCATGTAGCGCGTAGACAGGATAACCGCTGGTCATTAAGGGTAACTAACTGGATTCCCAGAGAAGGCAAGCGAGTTAGGGGGAGGCAGAAGGTTAGGTGGGCAGATGAGATTAAGAAGTTTGCGGGTGTAAATCCGCTGCAGCAAGCACAGGACCGGGTTAACTGGTGGAACATGGGAGAGGCCTTTGTCCTGCAGTGGACGTAGTCAGGCTGATGATGATGATGATTCATATTTTGGCTTGTCCCTGTGAGCAAGTGAAGGCAACAACAATATGCAGGTGCTTTCACTATGCTGGCTTTTAAGCGCCAGAAAGCAGTACCTGATGAAGAAAGCCCTGCTGATGCCGACATTGAGACAGTATTCAGTCAGGTTGTGCCCTCTGCCCCTTTCATTCTGCAGGACTACGAATCAATTGATGAAAATGTTCGTACCTTTCGGGAAGAGACTGTCGAGGAAATTATTGCTAAAGTGCAAGATGACGATCAACCTGCCAGCAATGAATGTGATGACAATATTGCCAGTGCAGTGGTGCCACCAAACCGATCTGCTAAAGAGGCTGTTGAACTTGTGCAGCGCTATTTTGAGCATGAGGCTTGTCCAGAATTTATAGCTTATTTGTCAGGCATGGGTGGGTACCGTGTGAAAAAAAAAAAAAAAAAAAAACTCAAGCTTGCCAAACAAACCACTTTTCACTCTTTTTTTTCTCCTACTCATCCTTATGAGTAAGGTGAGGTTTGTGCTGTTTGAATAAAGGTCAGGCATGGGTGTGTACCTTGTGAAGAAACAACTCAAGCTTGCCAAACAAACCACTCTTCACTCTTTTTTTTCTCCTACTCATCCTCGTGAGTAAGGTGAGGTTTGTGCTATTTGAATAAAGGTCTTGGTTCACTTAACAAGTGTATTTTGCTTAAATGAAACTTCTGATAAATGGAACAGTTTTATGGATCCCCTTCGAGTTCCGTTTAAGAGGGGCCGACTGTATTTAGCTTTGGCTTACATAGTATACTTTCAGAAAATTAAAACCTGTTTAATAGAACTGCTACTTAAATGGAACAAGTACATTTGACAAGTTTGTTTTCGCCCTTTTCTTCTGCACCCATGTTCTCCTCTCAATAAATGGAACTCCTGTTAAATTAAACAGATTTTTTTGGTCCCTTCAAGTTCCATTTAGTGAGAGTTGACTGTCTTGTCACGGGTTCTTGACGTGTGGCAGATCAATGGAGAGCCACACTACAGTAATACACACTGGCACACGTAGCGGTGAACAGAGCGTCGGCCATCCATCAACTGGTCATCGTTGGAACACGCTGCCTTATATACATCACGCATAGAATTTTTTAGCTATATCACTGGTCGTCATACAAGCTTTGGTATAAGCTCGAGCGTTTGTGTCTTGCACGCAGTCTTAACAAAATGATCTACTACAACAATCGTGGAGGCTATCAAACATTGAAGGCGTGGTTTGCGCTGAGTACTGCTAGCAGTATTTGTTGGCGTAAACCGAATGCTACAACAAAAGTGAAATAAGAAATGTGCGTGGCGATATTCATTGTTTGTTTACACATGCGTAAAGCTGCTTTATGAAATTGTAGACTCATCTCGCGCAAGCTTGAATTAAAAGGGTATAGGAAGAATATTAATTTGGGGTTCGGGATCTCGTTTGCTCTGTATGTAAGAGTATGTGTGCTGTGTGATCACGTTTAAAAGCAGGAGTATCAGCACATACACGTGGACACATTCACAAGAAGAAGGCTGTAGACACTGAAGGAGAGGGGTGCTATTGTTTGCACTTGCCCAACACATTTTTCTTGTTTACGTATTCTTGCATATTCACTTGTAACGTCGTTTTCAACTCGACCATGCACCAACTGGCCTAAGATTTACTAGTTGTGCCCATGGGTGTTTCTGTGCGTACTTGTAGATATCCGTAGATTGTAAAAGTTTCAGGGAGGTTTGAAACGGCCAACCCCCATCCCTCCAATACCTGCGGTTTCAGTGTACGCTTCTTTTTTCTCAACAGCCAAAAAAAGACGACGCAGCCTACCAAAGCTGCAAAAGGCAGCAGCAAGGACGACAGTTTCAACCCACTCGACATGACTGTCATTCATCCAGAATCATACACTCTGGCCGAGATGTGAGTTTCACAACCTTCGTATATTATTATAATGCCTCATTTCCTCTTATTGTGGTGATGTCACCCACCTCTGGGTGAAGAGAAGGCGCCAGGTCGCAAAGTAAAGTTAATTCCCTCTACCATAGTCTTTACATTAAGACCATGGCAGTTTGTATATTATTACTTGAGGTGTGCGAATATTTGAATCTTCTAATATTTCTCGAGTAGTGTTCTGCTAATTTGAATTGATTACCACCAGAATTTTACTATTCGGTCTTCTTGAGTATATAACTGTTTTAATAACAAGGAAATTAGCATGAAGCATACTTGGTTTCGTGTTTTGGGCCGTCGGCTTGTGAAACTGCTAGCCGCATTTACTGGTGCTCTGAGCAGTCTCTGCATGACAAGCTTGGCCAGTAGGGGAAGGGGGGGGGGGGTTCTGCATAAAATGCCTATCCACAATTCCAAGGAGCCAGCTGTTAAGGCGATTTGGCCTACCCACGGCTTCGAGCAATAAACTCGGTGCCCGATGTTTCAAAGTACACCTTGCTCAATCGTGAGTACGAAGAGCTGTCCTGCAACGGTCTCCGGCACAAGATTCAAAGCACTGATCAGCAGAACCATTAAATGCGGGTCCAAATGAGTCAGTGCTTCATACAGTCTGTCCAAGAGCGCTCCTGTAATGTTCATAACAAGCACAACACACTATCGTAATCTGATTATTGATGTATCCCTTGCAGTTTCCAAACTAAAACACATTTATGCTCTAAGCTATCATTGGCTTGTGCACTCAAAATGAGTGTGAATGCGTCACTAAATGTTGTCGACAGCCGTGACCTTGCAACGGGCAAGCAGCGGACGACACCGTCACAGAGTCAGCAACGGATCAATGCCAAATGGCTAGGCAAGGAGGCAGACACAGTCAATTGGAGGCCTCGAAACGAACTTAAGACATTTGCTTCTTGTACACTTGTTTCTGAATGGAGGACCTCGTCGAAACGGGAAACTTGAAGACTGAGAGATGCTCTTTCTGATGAGTCCAATATGGTGGCTCTTGGTTGGGCCACTGTGAAGCTATGATTTTTTAAAATGTGATTTAGAATATGTTTAGATATCCTCTGTAACTTTTTTTATGTAATATCACTTTGAATCATTGGAAAAAGCATTATATAAATATTCAAAAATTATTCTATTTGAAATATTGCTATTCACACAGCCTTACCTTTCACTTTTCTGGGAGTGCCACAAGCTTGCTGAAGTATGCAATCTTACATGCTTTGTGTTTTCCAACAACGTCATATTGTCTGTGTGCATTCATTACCTTTTGACAGGCCTTGATTTATTTATTAATAATATAGTACTTTGTAGGTGGCGCGCACTAGGCTAATGCGAGGACAAGAAAGAGAAAGCATAGTAGAAGAGCTGGCCTGCAGCGAGGGTGCTGTGTCTGTCTCAATACTTTACAAGGTATTTAAAAGTACCTTACAGGCCCAAAGGCATTGAGTAAGGCAGGTTGCAATGACATGAACTTGTATACGCAGGGTTGCAATGGAAATGAATAACCTAAAAATACAATGCAGCAATGTAAACAGTACACCTAATTTGCAAAATTTAATGGCTCATGTGAGTGACAGAACATTTCTAGCATGCTAAAAAGAAGGAACACAGCACATGCATAAAAATTAACAAAACCTGAAATTTGAGTGATAAAACAATCTTCCAGCACTATTGGAAGAAATTGGAAGAAAATTCACCACAAGCTTGTGTCAAAACGTGTCAGGATTGCTATCACAGTCAACATCATCAGGAATGTCATCACCCGCATGATTCCATATGCGAAGGACTTGTGACAGTGGTCGCATGTAAGTGGCAACTTACATGCGACCTTACTTACGAACTTACTTTTTTCTGACAACTTGACCAATTGCACCACTTCACGCAAACCATCCACGGTGGCCCAGTGGTTATGGTACTCAACCAAAATCGGGCAACAGCGCTTGGTCGCAGGTTTGAATCCCATCCGCTGAAATTTCAGTCAAGGTAAGAACGCTTGAGCCCTGTGCATGTAGATTTGTGTGCACATTAAGGAACCCCAAGTGGTCAAGATTTCCAGAGTCGTCCTCTATAGCATCCCTCGTAACACTGGTCCTATTTTTGGATTGTAAAACCCCAACAAATGAATAATCCTTCTCCCCCAGTTTCATCTCTCATTTGGGGTTGGACAAGGAGGCCATTGGGAAACCACAGTTCATTGAAAAAGTCCGCCAGGAGACGGCCAAGTATGGTGAGTACGCTTCACCACATTGCCACGGGATCGTGGCGTGTACGAAGGCAGTGGTCGGCCTGTGCAAGATGACACCCTTTACTTGACTGAGCTTATGGCCATAAAATGGGAAGCAATTCTGTTCAGTGGTAGCGGCAAACAGAGAGTCGGTCATCGATAATCTGATCATCTTTGGGACGCGCCACTCTTATACACCACGCATTATACTTTCCAGCCTCATCACTGGGGGCCACGCAAAGTCTAGAGTAAGCTTTGCGTCGTGTTCACAATCTTAAAACAATCTGCTACAATTGCAAAGTTTCTTTAATACTGATGCACTGTCTGTGCCGAGCATTGCCAACAGTCTTTACGAGTGTAAACCATATACACCAAAATTGAAACAAGAAACACGCAGGGCACTGTTGTGTGCTCATTAGTCTAAGTGGTTGTGTTTTGTGGAAGTTGCGGTGAAGAGGGGCATAAGGTGAATAGCAAGAATAAGGTTGAATAAGGTTTTTTTTAAAAGGATTTACCTTTTGTACAAACATTTCTTTTCAGCAAAACAGGGTAACCTTTACAACTAGGAAAAGGAAAAGCATGTAGAGATCACCATGTTCACTGCACAAAAGACCTCATTAGTGTCAACATAAACATAGCAAAATGTAGAGTTCATTGCAATCTGTGAAAATGAGCAGTTGCGTTTGTGACCTATCATTTTGGCAGCTCTTGACTAACATCCTAGGCCCTTAATCTGAAGTGCACTGTTAAAGATTTTGGAAAATTTAAAATCACATGCTCAGCGGTTCTAAAGTGAGGGTTCTTGTGGGTAATTGAAATCCTTGAAAACCTTTGAATTTGAAAAGTTTGTTTTCAAAGCCTTGAAAGTGCTTGAAGTTTTGCGAATCCATGAATTTTCCTTTTTCTAAAACAAACATTATCGCACATTTCACAGCACACTATTTGTGACGCTGTAAATATCGGGCGGCATACGTAATGTGCCCATCACAATAGCTTCTGCACAGAACCAACAGCATGCATTCCTGGAAACTCTGAAAAGGCAGGAGCAGGAGGATGAGAAATGGGAAAAAATGTTGCGCTGAGGAGGAGGTCGAAATGTTTGCAAAAAAGAAAAAGAACCAAGCGGCCGCTTTCAAGGAATTAACAGCTACAGCAAGCTCATATGTGGCAAAGGCAGAGACAATGATGCGGCCTGACGTGCTTTATCACGAAAACAGCCTTGGGAAGACAGTGAAGACAAAGTAGCAGGAGATAGTGGATATTTTGTTTTATTTATTTATTTATAGATACTGCAGGCCCTTCTCGGGCCTATGCAGGAGTGAAAACAAAGAAATACATTGACAGAAATTCGACATACAACCTGACAATACATCAGTGTTGCATGACGTAATTTTTAAAACGTACAACACACATAAGGGGAGGCGTAAATATGCTTACACAATCGCGTGTAAGCATACGATATGGTATGCATACGGTAAAAGAACACAATGATAATGTCTCCCAAATTTGAAACGACACTTTAACCAAAGCTTATATTACAAATATGCTGAAAAAACACCTCTAATGACTCAGAGTTGAGCGTCTCTTCAGGTAACATATTCCAATAATAAATTGCTCGAGGAAACAAAAAAAACTTATGCGAATAATGTGGCTAATCAGTTGCCTAATAGTCTTACCGTGATGAATCCTCGCTGATCGTTTGAAAGGCTCTTGGATGTAGTGCTTCCGCGACATATTGAAGTGACCGTAGTAAAGCTGACAGAGGAATTTTAATCTAGATATGACCATACGCTGCTCGAGTGTTTGAAGGTTTGCCCTATTACGTAAAGTGGTTACACTCGAATGACGCAAACAAACAGAATAACTGAACCGCAAAGCTAAATTTTGTACTCTTTCAATTTTACTTATTAAGTATTGAATTGAATTGAATTGTTTATTTTCAACATAATACATGTCGAGGGATGGTATGGCTAAAGGCAGAATTAACTGCCTGACAATGGCCCTACCACCCAAGCACTGTCCAACAGGGTTGTGGCTATCAGTAAGAAATTATACATTAGAAAGCGGAAGCTCAGCACGGAAATAAAAAAAAAAAAAAAAAAAAAAGAAAACATGACATAGCGCTACTTGCAAGGGACGACGACATACATATAGGAATAGTAGAATTGAGTTCTTTAATGTAACAGGTCTTAAGCCACATGTTGTTAGAGGTCTACTCATACTATGAAAGGCACGCAAGACAGCAAATATAATTTAACAACACGCTTAAACAGGGATTTTGATGAAACTTCATACACATTGCTAAGTAATTGTGGATGTTGGTTTAGGAAACTAGGGATCATGTATTTTAGCTGTTTAGTACCGTATTTTGTTCTACAAAACGGAACTTCGAAGTGGCTGTGTCGCAAAATATATGGATTGCGGTTAGTCAAGTACATGTGTGTAAACATAGATTCATTTTGACGCATTTTACTGTGTATGTATATAGCAAGTTTGAGGAAGTATAGCTGATCCACTTTTAATATCTCATTTTTTAAAAAAAACGGTGCTGTATGGTCAAGATAAGCAAGGTTTTCTATGTGTCGAACAGCTTGTTTTTGGAGGAGTGTCAGCCTGATTAAGTTTGTTTTGCTTGTAGTACCCCAGACTAAGAGGCAGTAGTATAGTTGAGAATGTATGAGTGTATAGTACAGCTGACGTTTTAGCCAAGTCGGAACCAGATGCCGGATATTGTAAAACACTCGATTGGACCTGGAAATGCTAGTATGTAATTTGTTTACGTGATGAGTCCAGCTCAAATGTTCTTCGAACAATACTCCCAGAAACTTAAATACAGATACCCGTTCAATAGCGCAAGCATCAAAACGAAGAGAAATGTCAGTGACATCGGGTTTATTCTTAGGTTTAAAAACAATGAATTTCGTTTTAGTAACATTTAACTGGAGCTGGTTGAGGGACAACCAAATCAGCAGCTGGTGCAACCAATTGTTTGTTACTATTGCCAAGTCAGCTAAATTATGACCAGAGAAAAATAAACTGGTATCATCGGCGTAGAGAACCATTTTAGGCGTAAGTGGTATATTCACAATGTCGTTGATATAAATTATAAAAAATAGAGGACCCAAAATGGACCCCTGAGGTACGCCGCACATTATTTGCTTCATCTCTGAGCTTATGTTATTAAGACTTACAAATTGAAATCTATCTGAAAAATAACTCTTTATCAGTTCTAAGGTAACGCCTCTAATTCCATATTCGGGAAGTTTTTGAAACAAAATGTGATGCTTTATAGAGTCGAAAGCTTTCCTGAAGTCAAGAAAAACTCCAACAGTAAATAACCTGTTTTCAAAATTTTCAATTATTTCTTCTTTAACACTCAGCAATGCCTCCTCGGTTGATTTATTCTTGCGAAAGCCGAATTGATTGTCAACAAGTGCCCGCTTTTCATCCAAGAATTGGGTTAACCTAAACTTTACAACTAATTCTAATACTTTAGAAAAAGAGGTAGCACAGATATGGGCCTGTAGTTATTCAGATCATTCAAGGATCCACCTTTATGCAAGACTACAACTTTGGCTATTTTCATACTAGCAGGAAAGATCCCGGTAGATAGCGCGCTATTACATATATGACAAAGCGGGGCACATAGTATATCAGCAACATGAATAATTGGTCTCGCTTTGATTTCATCATATCCGGCTGCGCTATCTGTTTTCAAAGATTTGATTAATTTACAAATTTCATCTGCAGTGCACGGAGACAGAAATATGGAGTTGGTACTGTGAGATGATATATATCCACATAGATCATTTGTAAGATTGTTAGTACCAGGATTATTTGCAATACCAGCATGCAAAAAGTGATCATTAAATTTGTTCACCAGTGGAGTACTGGTATATTCCACATCATCAAACATAAGTGTGCTAGGGATCATAATATTTGAGCTGCCTTTGAGTTTACGAATTGTAGCCCATATTTGCAACGGGCAAGCAGCGGACGACACCGTCACAGAGTCAGCAACGGATCAATGCCAAATGGCTAGGCAAGGAGGCAAGGAGGTATTGTTGGTAAGGGCTCCAAATGACATCTGCATACTCCAACTTAGGTCGCACTAGTGCCTTATAAGTGTTTATTTCACAGCAGGAGGAGTACTGTGCAACATTCTTTTCAAAAATGCCAATTTCTTAAGTTCACCCTGACAAATGTTATAAATGTGTGTTGCCCAACTGAGGTTACTTGTAAGCGTGACGCCTAAATATTTATAGGATCGTATCTGTTGATTGTAGCATTACCTAAAGAATAAGTAAAGCTGAGGGGCCTCTTTTTGTTGCTGAATGTAATAGAAGTTGTCTTAGTAGCATTTATTCTTAAACCCCACTTTGTATACCATGTCTCAATTGAGTGCAAAGCATTGTCTAATTTAATTTGGATTTCTCGGGTTTTAATAGCTGTGTCATCAATTTGGTCATTTTGGGTCTAATAGCGCAAATATAAATATTCACAAAAAAAAAGCAAGGAGGTGTTGCCTAACAACTGCTCCTTAGTTATTTCTATCTGAATAAAAGTTTGCAACTTGTCATACTGAAAATGATTGCCAATGTAGCTTCAAGAAATTATGATTGAAGGTTGTCTAGAAAAAAGTTATTCAAGTCATGTTTTTGATGTCACCAGTGATTTTATCCTTTTTCGATGAATTCTAGTTATTCTCCCCTGTACATCTGTTTAGTAACTGGGTTTCTAACAGGCAATGTTATTTTCGAAATTTCACTCATGTAGCCTTGAAAGTTTTTGAAACCCTTGAATTTTCGTTATTTAAACATGCATGAACCCGGTGAAACTGAACTGTTCCCTGGCCCTTACATAAATGGTGAGACAGGCAGATGGAAAAACCATATTATATGAGAAAACAGACAAGGCATTTCAATGAGGTCCTGAGGGACTAGCCGAGAAGGACCCGAGGGCTTGCCGCTGGTGAGAAATAACTTTTTTTCTCATGGCAGTGTGATTTTAGCCCATTATGCAAAAGCATTCACAGGCAGTGCATGTTTTATGTACCACTTTTGTAAAATGCTTTGTTGGGTGCATTGGTTCGTTCTGGAATAGATTTGAACACAATGACGAGGCGCAAGAGTGAAAGGCGACTGCATGTCTCGTGTAGTCCATTATTTTTTAGTTGTGCTGGCGCTTTATTCTTAAAAGGGCCCTGAAACACTTTTTCAAGTAACCATGAAATGAACTCTCTGGAAGAGCTTATTGCCTTACGAAATAAATGGTGCAAAAATTTTTTAAATCTGTCCAGTGTGAGTGGAGTTACAAAAATTCGTCGCATGCTGCAATTGCATTCTCTCTTCTCTCGTCCTGACCGAAGTGCTGGAAGCTAAGCGGTAGGGATGGCAGGCGCAAAGGAAAACGTCATGCACCATTCGTAACCTTGAGCACTTTTTCTTTTTTTTTTCTTCGAATGCCTTGCTTTTTCAATGTGATTGCGCGCACACGCATGGACAAGTCGCGGCCTCTCGCGATAATCTCTGTAACGACCGAGCGCCATGTTCAAATCAGCCAATGGCTGATAGATGGGCTTACTACGAGTGATTTTCAAGCTTATTCCGTGGTCTGTCGAGAGAAGATGAAGCTATTTTTAGCTGACTTTGATCAGTTATTGTGAATATCCAGGCCGCATGCTGCGCTATAATATTTGGCTCGCATGTTGTCGGGAGCCTGTAATTTCTATCAGCAACATTTACTGACCATGCTCAAAAAATGTTTCAGGGTCCCTTTAAAAGTTACATAATTTATTCCGGATATTGGTTATTTGTACTTTGTAATGAAAAACCATCAAAAAACAAGAAAGGCTCATGAGCCTATCAACTTGAAAGTGTTGTCACGAGTGCATTTGATAAAACCTGTGCACAGAAAGCTTTGCTCAGCTGTTTTTGGGGCTTCGAAAAAACACTTGTAGCTATCTGGAAAGAAATTTGGGCTGTAAATGGCAAGAATACTGTTTGCAATAAGTATGAGCGCCATCTGCATCTGCTGCATGTTGCTTTTCATTACTGAAGTAGAAAAATTGGATTGATTGATTGATTGATTTGTGGGGTTTAACATCTCAAAACCACCATGTGACTATGAGAGACGCTGTAGTGGAGGGCTCCGGAAATTTCGACTACCTGGGGTTCTTTAACGTGCACCCAAATCTGAGCCCACGGGCCTACAACATTTCTGCCTCCATCAGAAATGCAGCCGCCGCAGCCGTGATTTGATCTGGCGACCTGCGGGTCAGCAGCCGAGTACCTTAGCCACTAGACCACCGTAGCGGGGCTTGATAAATTGGAGTATGCCTATGGTAAAGCCTTTTTGAAAAGGTATGCACGTTGTGCAAAATGGTTATTGCTGTGAGCGTACCTATAGTGTTAACTTATTTGAAATATTGCTTTCTTAACATCCTGTATTTTGAAGGATATTAGAGGGATAGTACTCAACAAAACTTTCACGGCTGATATTTTCAGCCTAGTTGAAAACCTAAGTGCTGAAAGTGATTGCTACGCCCTTATTTTCAGGGAGAGAGACTAATAGAAAGTAATGAATTTATTGCTTCTTTTCACAAGCTGCCACATCTAGGAGCAATACGGTCATCCAGAATAGGGGGTGTTTCATTAGCTGGAAACTGGCGTGCCAACCATGCGCTCTACGGAAGTGACATTATGAGTATAACCCTATGACACTGCAAGCCCGCATCTCTCAGCTCACTCCTCTCCAACATTATGAACTACAATATTATCTTGATATAATGAAAAATTGGTTATAACAAAGTAAATGTAGAGCAGTCTTGCAACTGATCTACTGTTAGTAATATACCGAATATACCTTTATAACGAATTTTTCGATATAACGAGCCTAATTTTGTGTTAGGTGCAACTGCGTTACAGAGGTTTGAGTGTAGTCCAAAGGTCCCTAGAACTCGTACCAAACAATAGCGGCACAATGGATCTCGGCCTGCTGTGTGGAGCTGTATTTAAGCACTTTTATTGAAGGGTGAGAGTGGAATACACAGGGGAAGAAAGGGGCGTTGGCGATACTGGAAAAGCGCGCACTGGCTGGCTGAATCTGTCGCTGCTGCTTCTACCTCAGGCATGCTTCACGTTGCAGCCATTGACACGCAGCTCCACACAAGCTGGTTGGTTTGTAGCCACTGCACACTCACAATCCTGTGAAAATGCCGCTATCTGTTTGAAAATATGTGGAATTAAGCACTGTTTATGGGAACAGTCTCATCTTTCTAATCAAATTTCAATGCTTTCATCAACTTTTTGTCATATTTTGTTCATTATGTTGTTAACTGTGCACAACCATTAAACTCTGGCGGTGGCTGTTACGGACTTCCTATTTCACTGAAAAGCACCGTTTAACTCTTTGCGGTTCGTTGTCGGCCCCTGCCCGAGAAGACAGCACGGCCAGCAGCAGCTCATGCCCAGACGCTTCTGGACAAGTTCTTTTCCGATCGAGTTGTGCGCACATTTTCTGAGTACATAATGGGCTACCTGTAAAAGAGTAAGCAAGGTTTTTTTTTTACTTTCAGACCAAAACAGAATTAAGGTGCAAAAGGGTTTTGTATTACAAAGGGTTAATGCACGTCTATCGTCCAAGTTCACATCTAAGACCATAGTGAGCATGAGTTGTCAGGTTCATTTCTGAGTCATGGTAGTCACAGTTTGGTGACGGCAAAGGCAAAACTGCTGATTCACTCAGGTATAGGGACTCGTTAACTAACTCTAGAAAGCCTGCCACTATGACCTCTGTCAAAGACAGATTGTTGCTGCAGGATAAAGTACACAGGCCGATGAGCCTTTTCACTGCTGTGAGGTCGCCCTCAACTCAAGATGATGTCGCAATGCCAATACTATTATTGTCGTTCAAAATTTGCTCCAACTGGTCTTCTTTTTTTTTTAGAACGGCTAAGGCATTTTTTAAAACGGTCCTCTCTCATTTCTTTTGCAGACATGAAGCTGTTGATCAGCAAGAATTGTTCCCATACACCCATGTATTTGTGCAACTTCTTGTCTTGCGTGTGTTCTTCCCCTTGTGCAGGCGTCAACCACTTTGTGAACCTGCTGGGCGGTAGCATAGCCACGATGCAGCTTATCGTGGACGCATTACAGCACAGCGTCGAGTACGACATCCGCTCAGGTGAGCTTTTACATGCATCGATAGCTGAATTTACGCAGATTGGAGTTCATTTACGCAGATTGCAAATTGGAGTGTTCAGCACCTGTCATTGGTGTCTGGCTATATGCATATGCCTCGGAATGAGCTCTTCCCTCTCTCATATTTTATTGTTCCTTTCCTGCGGGCAGAGCAACACCAACCTTTGTTCAAGAGCGGGGTGCTCTCGCTCGACGAAGTGCACGCGGGCCTCGAGCTCACGGGCAAGGTGAAGAACTGCACCAACTTTGGTGCCTTCGTCGACATTGGGGTCGGCACCGACGGACTCATCCACGTCAGCCAGATGAATGGCCAAACGATTGCCCTGGGTGACCGTGTCACCGTGCGCGTCCTCAACATCGAGAGGAGCCGCGGGCGCATTGGGCTGCGGCTACTGTCCAAGGGATGAGCAACTGCCAAGTCACCTCTCACGCACGTGGACACCTAGCTAAGGCTTTTTGCGTTTGCGTGCTTTGTAAGCAGAAGCAGCAGCAACACGGCAGTCACCGCAGCACTGCTGCAAGCAACCTTGCGGTGATTCGTTTGCCTTGTACATAGCCATCAGTTATGCCAATGATGGCTTTAGTATTAAGAACGTGTAATTATTTAATTTTTTTAGTACGAATACGATATATGTTTATCAACGCGACCTACCGGTTGCAGAGTCGTCAGCTGAGCCACCACCGGCTTTAATAGTAAGGTTGTGCAAATACTAAATATTTCAAGTAAAAATCGAATATGTGTTTCAAAGTAACGGGAGCCTTCGTTACTCCTTATAAAACAAATAAATGAAATTGCATTTCACTTGGCTGAAGCATGTTGAAAATTCCTTTGGTAATGCATTCATTGCAAAATTTCGTGCAGAAAAATTGTTCAGCAGACATAGCAAATAGTGATTTTACAACAAGAACAATATTTTTAAGATTGGGAACTAACTCAAAGCAAATAGGGATTTCAGTACTTGGACAATATTTTTAAGCATTGTTACTAGGCATGTGCAACTGCCATTTTTGTGGTTCAAAGCAAATTCAAATCGAAACAGTGGCAGAGTTTTAATAGTAATACAGTCGAATCTCGATAATTTGAACTCGAAGGGGCCCGGAAATTTATTTGAATATAAAATAAGTTCGAAATAATGAAAGCTAAATAAACGGAGGGCTCTCCATGCAGTGGCGCACGTGCATTTAGCTAACACACGAGGGGAAGTTTCAGAAGACACACATTTATTCACAAATCACAGGACATCCATTATTAAGGGGAGACGCGGGTCGAAAAGTCGCGTTTTTTTTCCAAATTTCACCTTTTCTGTTTTTTGTTGCTTTATCATCTTTATACATTATATTTTGACATCTGAAAATATCACAGCGAAATAAGCATCAGAAGTCAGTGAAAAACGCGTCTGAGTGAGCGGCAGTGACGCGCGGCATCACGAAATTTACACAAAACGGGCTGCTGTTCGCGTGCTCGCGGGGCCGCGAAGAGAGCTGTCCGCCATATTGCGGCCGCTGGCTCGTGTAGAGTTGTCCTTACTCTCCACGATCCCGGTTCTTGAAGTCTCGTACGTTCACGAAAAATCTAAAAAAAAAGCAACAAAAACAGTCTTTTCCCGCCGTTTCAAACCGCGCGCCACTAACGCAGGGCCGCCATTGGCTGACAGCACCCGTGTTTTCTTGCCGTAGTTCGCTTCACTGTTTTCCGGAGTTATTTTTCGCTGTTTTCGTGCGATGGCAAGCCCGAAAAAGGCCGTTGCCGACCATCGGAAATACAGAAGTAAGAACAAGTTCAGAGGGAAGCGGCGGAGGACGTACAAGAAAGCCACCGCCAACGAAAATGTCCGCGACGGGCCAGCGGCCGGTAGGCCTAACATCGACCACGGCAACGTCGACCATGGCAACTGCGACGACGAGATCAACGCTGCAGTGAATTTTGTGAGTGCATCGCAGAAAAAGATCGCGTTATTCGAAAACGACGTCAGGCCGAATGCCGATCGTGCCGAAAGCGTAGTGCTGTGCGAGTTGGGTGCATTGACGGCCGTCGTCGCAGGCGCGGCATGCCCCGTTTGTCACGAGAGTAAACTCGCAGTTCGGGCACCGAATAAAAAGCGGAAAGGCCTTTCGGCGTTTCTGGAGCTACACTGCGAGAATGCGGAGTGCTCGGAGAGCATCCTTTCGTCCGCGTACTCGTCGAAGCGGGTCGCGTCAGATGGCGGCCGCGGTGCAAGCAGAAGCTACGACAGCGGGAGTTCGCGTGACGCCTTTGCCGTGAACCTGAAAGTGGTGCTTGCAGCGCGTGCCGTCGGTATCGGGCATGAGCAACTTTCACGATTTTGTGCAGTAGTTGGATTGCCAAACCCTATGCACCATAAGACCTTCCATGCTATCGGCAAAAAGATTCACAGTGCGGCAGTGAAGGCTGTCTGTGAAAACATGCAAAGGGCACGCAGCGTCACCAAAGAGGTGGCTGGTAACAGTGACGTGCCAGTCATGTTTGACGGCACATGGCAAAAAAGAGGCCACAAAAGCCACAATGGTGTGGGAACTGTAGTGTCCTTGGACACTGGTTTGTGCCTGGACTATGAAGTGCTTTCCAACTTCTGCCTGGCGTGCAGTTTGCATAACGACATGGGAGGCGATGAAGAAACATGGCAGGCGTTTCATCATCCCGTTTGTGAGAAGAATTGCGACTGTTCTTCGCATGCCATGGAGGCCGAAGCTGCAGTGCGCATTTGGCAGAGGACTGTGGACTATGAGACACCCCTGCGGTTCACCATCTTCCTAAGCGATGGAGACAGCAAGGCCTACAACGGGGTCTGTGATGCCAACGTGTACCCTGACACTCCAATTGAAAAAGAGGAGTGCACCAACCACGTGGCGAAACGTCTGGGCACCGGCCTGCGGAAGCTGCCAACGCCACTTCCACGAGGGGAGAAGCTGAAGGAGACCACCATCCAGAAGCTTCAAACTTACTTTCAGGTGGCCATTGTGAACAATCGGGGAAATGTCCACAAGATGTACACTGCCATATGGGCCTCATGTTTGCACTCGTGCTCAACAGACGGTGCTGGAAGTCACAAGTTCTGTCCTGCAGGCCCAGACTCGTGGTGCAAGCACCGACGTGCTGAGGCGCAGGGCCAGCCTGCACCGTGCCACACCCCCCTCCTGACCAAGGCCCAGGGTTTGGCAGTCCTCCCAATCTACAAGCGTCTCACAGATGCGAAGCTGCTTGCCCGGTGCCTCCACGGCAAGACACAGAACGCGGCCGAGTCCCTGAACAGCAAAATATGGCTGCTGTGTCCAAAGACCCGGTTTGCTTCCCGGACTGCTGTGGAAACAGCCACAGCCATTGCAGTCCTGTGGTTCAACCGGGGCCACGCGAGCTTTGAAAAGGTGCTGGAAGAGCTTGGGGTGCTTCCTTCGGAGGCCCTGGTTACCCTCAGCGACCGCCGAGACAGCATGCGCATGCACAAGATGAATGTGCGTCAGACCGCTGAGGCGAGGGCACACCGTCGCAGTGCAGCCAAGAGGGCCCGGGTGGAAGAGTCCTGCCGCACCAGCCGGGAAGGGAAAACCTACGGTGCTGGAGAGTTTTAGACAACTGATATTCCCTCTGGACATGTGTGTATGTGTTCAGCACAAGTTTCGTGCTACTGCGTTTTTCATTTTTGTAAATACAGACTTTCAAACTTTCAAACGCGTTTTTCTCATTTCGCAATTTTGGCCAATTTGCATTTTTTGCGGGAAGTGTTTCGGGCACTTAGAATGGTCATACGACGACGAAATTTGGCACACACATTGAGGAGAGTGCGTAGGGTGCCGATATCTACTTGAATCAGCACAACCTATCAGCTGTAAATATCTATTAATAAATTTAATGGTGGTCGAGTGGAAAAAAAAGGGTAGTTTGCTACACAGATGTTTTTTTCATAGTTTCAAAGTTGGAGCACAATTTCTAGCTAGATATCGGCACTCTATGGCTAATAGGGAGCAAAAGGAGCCATTGAACAACTCTCTGCATGAACATTTAGTATGCGTGAAAGTTCCCGGAAAACTTATCAAGTTTCACCATTACTTGAAACACAACTCCCAAACTATTGCACTTATGTAAAAACTGATTACAGATTTGGAATCAGGAGGAAAAACTGCATCAGTGGTCCAATTTCTGAAGCTCTAAGTTGAATAACAAAAAAAAAGTGCTTTCGAGGAGCGTCTCCCCTTAATTGAAGTATTCGGGGATACGTGTCTGCACACGTTTGCCTTGCAGCGAGTGAATCAATTTCGCACGCAGCTAGCAAAGCATTTCTACTTCGGCTTCAGCATTCTCCTGGCAAGAGAGGTTGCGTGCGGAAATGTCCCCCGCCGACATTTTCTAAAGACGACAACAACAGCGACTGCGTAGCGGTGCCCGCTACGCAGCTGCAGCATGGCCAGCACGTGACGAGAAAGGGGGGAGCGTCTCCACGCGGAGAGAAGCAGATTGGCATTTGAGAAAGAACACACACTCCACGGCAGCTCTTTTTTTTTTGTTCTCTTCGCGTGGGTTGTTGAAAGGAGAAGAGTGATGTAGCAGGGAAAGGGTAAAGCGTGGCACCAGCGCGTGAGAGACCCCCCCTCAAAGCGCAGAGCCGTGGGGCAGCTTGGGCCAGTCGGTATGGCATGACGATAGTTATAGCGCGAGAATAAAACGACGACACAGAGACAAAAAGGACACGAAGGCCGTGCTCTCACAAAGGGCAAGGGCTACAGAGATAGTGCCTTTTTCCTTTCCTTCAACCACACATTCATTCAACCCAGCGACAGCTTTCTGTTTTTGTTTTTTTTTCCCTCTTTCTCTTCGCGCGCCGCGTTGGAAGAAGGGTCTTTACGTGGCAGGGACGAAAAAGGGAGAAGCGTGACACGGGTGCGTGACTATGAAAATAGAAATGTGATGGTCGTACCGCAGATAAGCGCTAAGCGTGAACACTGTGAACTAACAATGGGCTTGGCAGCAGTAGAAAATTGAAAGGCCAGTGAATAACGAGAAGAGCCGTTTTCGGCCTAGCACTGCAATCAATGATAAATGTTGCATTGCCAGGTGGTTCCAACAGGCTGTTGGGCATGCGTTTGCGTGGTCCGCAAATTTTTGTGGTTACAAACATTACAAACCAATGTTTGTGGTTACAAACATTAACCATTGGTGGTATGTTCAAACATTGAAGTGTTGTTTTGCAGCAGTCTGGATCTTCCCTTCAAAATTGGCTTCGCAGCATAGCAGCCTTATGCTGCAGTGAAACCACCTATTAAGGGGGGTCATATCTATTCGTTTTTTTCAGATACTTTGCAATTTTGAATAATTTGAATTTTTTTTACGGAGCGAATTCAAATACTGTAATATTTGATCGAATATTCTTATGTGCTCCAATATTCAGCCATGCCTATTGTTTTCTGTAAAAATGCAATTCAAAGTAGGAAAGACTGCCTCAGTTTTAAAGTATGATGTCAGGCAGCAATTGTTTGCCTGCACTTAGCCTTTTCTTTGAAAAACACTTAAAGTACTGTTGAGGCAATGTTCCTAATCAGTTATTTCCAATGTATGTATTTATAGAATCAAAACGTACCACACGCTCTGCAATGAGAACCGCAAACGAAAGTTAGTCGAAACGAAACCGTTGCTACCGTTGGGGTGTGCTGTCAATGGGGTTGAAACGGAGCGTAAAGGTGATACACGCATCATGCTTTGCGGTGTACTGGAACTTCGTAGGTGTGACTGCAGCGCCACAATACATAGCCTAGCAAGCAGAATAAGCAAAAGGGGGCTGTAGTTTGAGACGGCCATGCTGAACTGGTGATGACGCATTGAAACTCCAAACGTAGTACTCCAGCTATGCTGCAAGCTTCACTAGAGCGAGCAAGCGCGGTGCACTCACTCAGTTGAGTCTTTTTCGTTCCCCTGGTATATTGGCGACTCTGGGCTTTTAAATGAGAGAAATGCTGTGCCCTCAGGTCTGTGCATGGTGCAGCACACTATGAAGTTTTCTAAACACAATAGCAGTTCCCAACCACGCTGCCTAGTGGATGCAAAAGGCAAAACAGGGCCTTACAATCG